AACTGAGTTTATTGACTTTAGTGTCTGTTAGAAGGAGGAAAATCTTCATGGTACTGAGAAACCTATCCTCTGTGAGCCAGGACCATCCCTTCATTCTCCCAAATGAACATTTGGATTTGTTATTGCCTGATAAGTCAGAAATGTTTGGCTTAGATGTTCATTTAACCACAGTGACTTGAAGAACTTAAGGCAAATGGAAAATGCATTCTGGATGTTGCAAAGCCCAGACCTTCTGGAAATAGTTTGAAAGTATTTCCATCCCTCCACAGGCAACTGTTTTTCCTACACTAGCATGTGCCACACATCTCTGTACACAGGAAGAGTGTCTCTGTTCCCTCAGGCCTTTCTAGATACCTGCATGTTGATAATGATGAAGCAAGTTATTTCTAAGAAGAGACACTGTGTTTCTAAAGAAAAGTCATGGAGCAGCTATTTGAGAATAAGACTGCTCTTTTGGAGTTGTTTGTTTCAGGAAATACTATAGCATCTTTTTGGTCTCCTGAAAGAAAAAGAAAAATATTGTGACTTTGACCTTGGCTCCATTTGTTTTTTCTATCTAACCCACACCTTGCTGACAAATACCAACATCTGTCTTGACAAGCTAGTTCACAAATAACTATTCATTCATAACTTTAGGCTGTTGTAAGAATCCTTATTTATTACTTCATCTTGTGAACAAGAATGCAAAGTTTAGTTTCGAGAAAGACACTGAAATGATCACAAGTCCACTGGTCTTTGTATATCTCTCTATCTGAAAAAGATTACTATGTACTTTTTAGTGGATTTTAAGAACACTAATCTATTTACTGTTGCCAAAACATAAATGGAAATTTTCTGGGAAATATAATTTAATTTTTAAGTTTTGGATTAATTTCAGTGTTGGTGATTTCAGTGCTTCGGGGATCATCTGTCTACACCAGCTGTAGCAGTAACATTGTCATTCCTTCCATATGGAGGTTTCTTTTTTATGTGGTCATTTATTTCCCTATCTATTGGCTTAATCTCATTTTCACTTTTGCTTTGACATTTTAATGCCAATGCAACTGAAGTCTTTTCTACTTGCTTTATAAAGAACTCTTGTAATTAAGCTGCTGGCTCAAAAAGTCCAACAAATGGTGGAGGACTTAGTCTGATTGTACCTTAGAAGGAGAAAGAAACAAACACAGACTGAGGACATTTCTTTGCAAAGGATAATTTGGTCAAGGAACTGTACCCTCTTAGGTTTGCCTGGATTTTCCATGGGCAGATATTTCTACATCCAAGCTCATCCCTTGACATTTTGGGCTCTTCAGGTTAAGGAGAGGGAGACAAGGTAAGAAGCATGCCAGACCTCTTGACTTTTACCTGGAAGTAGCTGGGAGAACCAAAACTGAATTATAGTCATCACCTCAGGCTCTGAAGCAACATCTCATCTTTAGATAGTTGTTAAACTCCACTACCCTAGGTTGCTGGTATCTATCTTTACCCTGTTTTCTATCTGAGACATCTTAAGGCATTTTTAAAAAATCAAAGCTGATTTGAATAGTAATTTAGTCAGTTATTTATCTTCTTCATAGTGTTAAGCCTTAGGTTGTTAAATGTGTAACTAAAGTTTTTGGTCAGATCCATGAACTAGCCCTGAACTGCCTCTCTTTTACCTACTAATCTTACGCATTCTCCATAGAATGAGGTGACTGGCGCTAGTTTGTCTTGGAGAGAGATGTATTTCAGAAGAATTCCACTGTCAGAAAATATCACCATCAATGGTGAAACTATGTGTGTAAAGTCATGTCTAATTTTATTAACTCTCTGTCACAAGTACTTGGATTCTAGAAAGAGGGTCTTGATACAAGCTGACCCCGAATCATTATACATTTGGATCAGTTTGCCCTTTCTCAGTAACATTTCCTGGGAATTCTCTAAGAAGAGTAGAAACTCATTGTGGCTAGTGTTGGGAGGAATAATTGTTCCCACTTATGGGATTGCTTTATCACAAGAGAATATGCTTTACATGTTTGTTTGGAGCGGCTAGAGGGATTGGGGTAGGACTTTTTTGATATGGAGTTTAGTTCTACGTTTCCTTCTAATGACATCTAATTCTGCTTAAGATATCATTGCAACAAGAATGACTTTATCTGTATCCTATAGACACTTCCATACTACACAAAATCACTACTTACTCAGAACAAATAATCCTTATGAGAGGATAATTTTTTCCTTGACCCACCTGGTTGGATTGTTTTGCAGTCTAATGAAACTGTGTAAGACTTATCTATTCTGCAAGTCACAAAGACCTGTACCAATGGTTCTCAAAAATTACTATAAAAAAGAATTCCCTATAGTACTTTTGTAAATGTAGATTCCCAAGCCTTCGTTCCCCAGCCCATTTGGATTATTAGTCAGATCCAGAAACCTGTATCATGACAAGAAGGCCAGGTGATTCTCATGCAGGTGGTTCAGAAACATACTCTAGAAACATGTATTTTTTGTTGTATTGCTTTATTTCTTAGCTTTGTCACCACAGGCATAAAAATGAACTCCAACACTTTTATAGTTAACTTCATGGTTTAGTTATTTTGTAAATTACTCATACAAAATTTTAATTCCAGGCCAGTTTCTGTCTTATGACTTGTGACCCATCGTCCCCATTATAAGTTAGTGAGTGCCTAGGTTCTTCTAAAAAATATTGTTTCTAAGACTGTGAATGTCTCAGATTTTTATGTCTTATATTTTACAGAGTATGCCCCCATATATCCAAAGCCTCACTGTAGAAATAAAGTGTATCCATACTACTGTGCCACTTCAATCAAGTAGATTCTTGATTACTTAAAAAAACTAAGGGCTGATTTCCATAACCTGCGTAATCACTATTAGCATCCTCATATCTCCATCCAATTCATGATCTTAATTTCTCAGATACTGGATCAGCACCAGAGCTCCCTGACCTTTGGCCCTGCTTAAAAACAAAAAAGAAACGGAAGACAAGAAAGGATTTTAATACTGCAACTTTATAGCACAGTGCAAATAAACCAAAGGTGCATACTTGAGGACTGCATGCTGGAAAATGCAACTGACAATAATTACCTCACCTTGTTCCCCACAGACTTCCTAAGCATGTGCTTATAGAAGATCTGGGGTAATTTCAGGGATCTGAATTGTTTAATAAAATTATCCCTCTTCTGTACCACTGCGTACCACTGGCCTGAAGAAGGTGCTGTTTCCCAGGAAAAGGACTTAGATCCCCCCAAGAAATGCATAGGGCCATAGTTTGAAGAAAATGTATCGCTAACCAAGTGACTTACTCTGCATATTCAGCCTTTCTCTTATTATATTCCTTGAGATTTTTATTTAAGATAACTTTCAGCATCTTTTTTTAAAGGTTAGATAGGAATGAGAAAACTTTGTTTGACTTGCTAATCTTGTGACAAACAGTTTATATCCAGTGTAGCTTCCTGTCTTCACTGACTGGTTATATGAGAGAATTTTCTTCCTGCAAGACTGTGGAGAAGGCTCTAAAAATAAACAACATGGTTGCTTATTGGTGGAAGCATATGTGAGCAGATGTCAGCTGGAAACAGCATATGGTGGCAACATGATAGCAGCATGTTCTTATAGAAGCTCGGGTGATGGGTCTTCGTCTTCCATGACACACCAGCCATTCCGAGCCCCATATCTTAATTCAAGAGTGTTCTGATTAGAAAGTGCAAACCATACCCTCATGAATCCATTCCTTCACCATTAGAAGGTGAGAAAAATCTATGACTGGGATCTTGTTAGGGGGCTGAATGTTGGAGACGGTAAGTTCCAGGGTATGGGAAAAGCTTTTACTATCCATTTTAAAATAAGAGGCACAAATCTGGCAAAAAATTGAGAGAGGAATCCATAAGGCCCTAGTCTTTGTCTAAAGAAGTTTTTAAGTCAGGTCTGAATTGTGAAAGTGTTACTTCTAGAAGATATGCCCTATATGAATAGAAGGTACATAGATTCTACATTTACATAAAAAGTGAGAAAAGGATTATATTTATGCCAGGTGTAGAAGGCAGTCAGGGCTTCTTTTAATCACATAAGTTAGATAACAGATTACATTCCTTGATTACCTTTTTATCTGCCAGTCTCTTTTAAATATATCATCTCAATTCAATTTTATATAAACCCTCAGGGTTAGCATTATGTCTTTCCCATCTACACAGAGGCTTGAGTTAACTCAGGGGCTTGTTCAAGGATTCACAGGAAATCAAAGAAAAGGAGTTTTAATCCATATTTTCTCCTGGAAAAATCCTGTATTTATTGACCCAGTTGCATTTAGAAAAGACTCGGAACACTCAGCAATATTTTTTTCTTCAATTTGGGTATTTTTTTGGTATATTTTCTTTTCTAAAAATACGGTGGGTAATATACAAATTGGATTGCTGTTGCATTCAAGAAAATGAAGTTCAAAATTTCTGGACATAATAACTATCATGGAAGATATGTTTAATCTATTTCAAAGAGCTCTAGCTTTTAAAACTGCAGCCACGTAACCCACACCGATATACACTTATATTTTTGACTCATTCGAGAAGAAGTTTTCATATGCAAGTTAGAAATGATGACAGGTGGTTTTAAGAACTCTAAGATCTAGCCCAGCCAAATGAAAAACAACATTTTATTCTTAATTGGTAGGCTGTCTTTTGTCAAAGGAGGTCAAGGCCTTTCTTATTCATCTTAATGTAAATCAAGGTATTTATTTTACCATTTCAGTGTATAAATTGTACATTGTTATTTTAACACTAGAGCATGCAAAGGGAAAAGTGAATTGAGGAGTCTGACTGCTGGTTAAGGGATGCCAGAAGATCTGGAACTAGAATCCGGAATCTTCCATAGTGTCTAATCCCCTGGCCTCAGGCAGCAGGGACCTTATATTTCTGGGGGAATGATAAGAACATTCAGTGAGTACCTCTTCTACTTTGCATCTTATGTAGTTCTGTGCCAGGCATCACTTCAGTAAAATAGCTAATGACTGTGCTTTTTAAAACTCCTAGCTGTCTGCCCAGTTGTTACAACACCCTCTGGCTCAGTGGGCAGCTTGTGCGCCAGACAGTCCCAGGTGCTTTGTGGGTACCTTGGTGAGTACACTTGTCTGCTTTATTCCTCATTTGACATAGTTATATCAAGTCCTTCTTTAGTATTTGTCTCTTGTGGGAAACGTGTCAGAGGCAAAATTGGATTCTGAAATGCAGCCTTGTAACTGAGATATTACAAGGGTGCCTGAAACTTGCTGGTCAGAGTTTACATGAGAAAAACTGATGCATCAGTTTGAAGCAATGCAATGACTTGATTGCAGAATGTGACAGAATAACTTGTGGGAATGAGATATGTGTTCCAGGGGTCGCAGAGTGATTTGAAATATTGATCTCCTGACCCTATGGAGGTTAACTCTCTGGAGGATTGAACACTATGGCCTGCATGTCAAGAGAATGTTCCTTTTTTTATATCTTATTTGTATCTATGTACTTATTCCTGGCACATTGTAGTTGCTCAATTAATGTTTCTTGTATTGAACTAAAGTGAAAGGAGATTTTCCCTCCTTTTGATTATGAGTCTTACTGTCACCCAGGCTGGAGTACAGCGGCATGTTCATGGCCACTGCAGCCTTGACCTGCTGGGCTTGGGAATTCCTTCTGCCTCAGCCTTCCAAGTAGCTGGAACTACAGGTGCATGCCACTACTCCCAGCTTATTTTTTGATTTATTATAGAGACAAAGTCTCCCAAGTTGCCCAGGCTAGTCTTGAACCGTGGACTCAGGCAATCCTCTCACTTCAGCCTCTCAAAGTGTTGGGATTAGCAGTGGTAGGCACAGCCGCCAGCGTCCTCCTTTAATGTTTTAGAGAAAGACCTGTGGAGGAGTTATGTTGATGCCGTTATGTGTGACTTTCATGTTGAAATGTCTGGGTTGCATGAAGAAATGGATTGTCATGGGGCAGGCCCTCAGCTAACTGGACCTGGGAGCTGGCCACTTGCCCATATCACTTAGTCATGACCCTCAAACCAAGTGCAAGCTCTGTTAGACTGAGGGTCCCCCAAACCAGAGGTCTCTACCCCTTTCTGACTCGGAACATTAGTTAATTCAGCTGGCATTTATTGAATGCCTATTATATGCTGAGTAGTGAGTTCACAGCAAAAAATAGGACTTGAGTGATCCTGACTTTCAAGGAATTCAGTGGCTAAGTTGTCTGTGAACCATGCTCGGGAAGAAAGAAAACACACTCAGCCATCCTGGCATTGCTTCACTCCATATTTTTGAGGCCTCGAGAAGGTTTGGATTATGTTGATTCTAAATGTAGGTGGAGGTCCTGGATGGGGACAAAGGACATATATTTTGTATTACCCCAGGAGATGCCTGGTTTACTGGCTATCCTGTTTTGCAATTTATCATGCCTAACATTGCTTCTGAGAAATCAGTAGACTTTATTACAGTGATCTAAGCTGGACTTTCCTCAGAAAGAACTGATTCTATTGGAAGCATACTTTTATTTTAATACAGAAACCCTCAAAGTGGCCAGAAGCTGCCATAAGAAGAACAAAAGAGTGAAAGGTTTCATCTGTGTTTTTAGAGCTCCCTTTTGTGAGACATTATATTTTGGGTTTAAACTATAATTTTTAATATTATTTCACTATCTAAAACAAAAGGTTAAAAGTCTGATATCTTTTCCACTGTTTGGAAAGGGAAAGGGGAGGGAATGAGAGAAGGAAAACATTTGTTGAATATTCCCTGTATCCCTGTTACTTAACACACATCACTCTAATTTTCCCCATGTTGGTTGATAAGGGAGGGCTACAATGACAATCCCTATTTTTCAGGAAATTATATTTGGAGAGGTAAATACCTTGTCCTTGGTCACAGAGCTAACTAGTGGCAGAGCCAAAATCTGAATTCAAGTCTGGCCTGGATGCCACCATACCACCGAGACCCCAAATTCCCCCTCCTTTTTTTGCTTTTCCTTTGGAATCCTCTCCCATTAATTTTATAACTTTCTTACTACTTTGGATTAATTTCCTTTTCATCTTTTCCTCCAATAGCAAACAAGTTGAGAGGCCTACCCTGGTTCTTTGGGTGGTTTTTCTTCTCAGACACTCCTCACTTGGGGTTATTTTCAGTCATTTAATAGCTGCAAGCATCCCTCTTTTCTTGGTGGTAGAAAACAATGGAAACCCACCCCACTCTGCAGCGAGTCTGGGAACGCCAGGTGTGTCTCCAAGGGTGTGGAAGTGGAGTTAGGATGCACACTCCACGTAGATTCCCAGGCAGTGGGAGGCTCTTCCACCCCGCCCAGCTGACAGACTGTGGGAAAACCCTGCAGACCCCTCTCAGACCTTCCATGCAAGACTGCCAAGCAGCGGGGCTCTGCATTTTATTTTCGTCTCTGTTCTTAGAAATAGTAATTGAGTAAAAATGTAAGTGTGCGTATGCCAGGGGGCGGGCGTCCAGGGTCAGGGTGAATTTCTCTGTGCTGAGTGTGATTCTGAACACTCGTTAAGTGGAGTCGGCCTGTGCCAAGCAGCTCCAGGGCCATCCCTGTCACCTTGCGTGAACCACCTCTCCATTCCAGGGAGACGAGACGCTGGGAGCGGCTGGGGGGAGCCCAAGGCCTGTGCCGCCTCTTGCTTTTCTTGCTCTCTAACCTGGTGTTGTTGATAATGACGTGTTCTGACACTGATGATTGGACTGGCAGCTCTGATGCTTCATCAGCTTTAAATCAAATACCCTAAAGAATAAAATAGTCCATGCTCCTCATAGCCCATGGGACTGCAAAATCATTTTTCTCTTTTTAAATGGGTCATCCCCAGTAACACTGGCAAAGGTGAGGTTAGCCTGCCTGAAAGTTTATCTAATAAGGTATAAGAATCCAGAGGGTAGGCATTAGAGATGGTCTCTGCATCTGGATTATCAGGAATGAATTATCAGTCATGAAGTTGAATTCAGTTTTTATAAAAGTACTCACTGAGTAAGAGGTGTTTGAGGAGCTTGGTTAAGATTTAAAGGTGGTGTTTCTCAAAGTGCGGCCTGCATTTGTATCTCCCAAGGTGTCCAGCAGATTTCTGACCCTCTCTCAGACCTGCCCAGTCAGAATCCCTGGGGTGGGTGGAGCAGAAGTCTGTACATTTTAAACAGGCACCGCAGGTGCTTCTGACCTCACAGAAGCTTGCAGCTGCTCAAGGCAGCAGTGCTCTGATTCTGCAGGTCTGTTTACTCAGTCATACCACACAGAGGGATTCAGATCCAGTAGGGCTTCTGTTTGATCAGCTGGTCCTTCAAGTGTGGGACCCTGAACTCACAGCCCCAGTGGTAGAGTTTTTGCTGTGTGCTTTGTTTTCCCAAACGCATGAAAATATTGAGGTAGACTTGTTATTCATGGTATCACTCAAGGTCAGGCGTTTTGACTCATGCCTCTAATTCCAGTACTTTGGGAGGCTAAGATGAGAGAATCACTTTAGTCCTGGAGTTCAAGACTAGTCTGGGCAACATATCGAGACCCTGTCTCCATAAAATACTTAAAAATGAGTCCAATGAGGTGGCTTGCAGCTATAATCCCCGCTACTTGGGAAGCTGAGGTGGGAGGATCACTTGGGCCCAGGAAGTCATGGTTATAGGTAGATATTGCACCACCACTCCAGCCTGGGTGACAGAGTGAGACCCTGTCTCAAAAGGCATTGCACATATCCCCTGCTCACTGTTCACCACAGAAGAGGACAATGAGTGTGCAAGGAAGTAAATTAATCATGTGGGATGGGTGGTGAATACCTACCTTAGAAGTTATGTATTGTGAATGTCTGCACTCAAGTGCCTTCAACTGGGCGACTATGGAATGGGAAGGGGATTTTTGAAACTAATTAATGTTTAATGCATAAATGACATATATAAAGTATAAGATAATGTATAATTCCTTGAGGTAGCTTTTGGTCAAAGCACTGCTGACCTCTTCATGGCCTGAGTATGCTGTTCTGAGGCATTCCATGGGGTAAGGACCTAGCCAACAATGGAATGTAAACTCTGCTGTCTCAGCCAGGCTCACCTTCAGGTAACTGCAGGTTTCTCTTTGCAAATGCTTTTTCATTTGTTTGTTTGTTTTAACCAGAGGCATTAGAGCAGATGAGAATCCAAGCTATTAAAAAGTAAAGTTAATGGTAAATTACCTGGTATTTTCTTTGTGCTACTATATGTAGCTCCTAGTATTCTGATGTTATTTTTGAACAACCTATTGTTTTGACCATACAGTATAAGTACAGTATAAGTATTCTATAACTACTGTAGGTTTCTTTTTGACTATTTATTTATTTAGAGGCAGGGTCCCACTCTGTTGCCCAGGCTGTAGTGCAGTGGCACAATCATGGCTCACCTCAGCCTCCAACTCCTGGGCTCAAGTGATACTCCTGCATGGGCCATCTGAGTAGCTCTCAACATACTCATGTCACCACACCCATTTATGTTTTTTTTATTTTTCAAAGAGACAAGGCCTCACTCTGTTGCCCAGGCTGGTCTTGAACTCCTAAGCTCAAGTGATCTGCTCTCTTCCACCTCCCAAAGTAAGCTACTACACATGGCCCATTGAACTGTTTAAAGAAATACCATGGTCTCCATTACTAAACAGCTCACATGGCTACTGAAGTATGAGAAAAATGACTAGATAGTATTAATTTTACTTCCTAACAAGCCCTCAGTTAAAAGATCTCTACATTAACTATGAATAATTTTAAGATAAATGGTCAATGCATGCAGAGATCATGGGAAGACAAAAATAGAGGACATTCCTATGATACTCTGGTCCATTTAACAGTATTTATTGAATATCTTCTTGCATCTAGCACCAATCTAGCCACTAGTGATACCATCAGTAAGTCAAATAGCAAAGATCCCTACCCTTGGGCAGCTTATATTCTGGTGGTGTAAGATAGACAATTAATAATAAAGATTAAATGAGAATGGTAGAATTTGATAAATGTTGGGAGATTGGTCAGGGGTAGGGAGGTGAGGTGCAGTTTTAAATAAGCTGGGCATGGATGAAAGAGTTCATTAAGAAAGTGGCATTTAAGTAGACTTGAAGGCAGTCAGAGAGTCATCTGGGGC